GGGGGCACCAGGCAGAGTGGGGGGGGGCAGGGCAGGGCTAGCAGGGGGCTGCGGGTCAGCAGTGGGGGCGACCAGGCAGAGTGGGGGTGGGCAGGGCAGGGCAGGGCTGGGCTAGCAGAGGGGCTGCGGGTTGGCAGAGCCCTGCGCGGATATGAAAATATGTATCCGCATCCGATCTGCAAAAATTGTCTGCAGATATCAGCATCTGTGGGGCTGGGCTAGGGGGGAAGGGGGCAGGGGCCCTGCAGGGTGGCTGGGCTGGGGGGCAGTGGGGAATCCTGGCGCTCATGGCTGCTGCCCTGTCCCCATCCCGGGCACAGGCTGGTTTCCGCTGACCCCAGTCCCGTGGGGCTCCCCCGGCCCAGCCGCGCACAGAGGCCCATTGTCCAGCGCTGGCGGCCGCACAAGGCTCCATTGAAAGCCAGGCTGGCGTGGGGGGAGGGGAGGCTCCGGCCCAGCCTTTGTTCTGCCTCCACAGGAAATTCTGGGAGCCGATGATAAAACCTGGCAACAATGTGGGGCCCCGGGACCCGCCTGCCCCACACAGAGCCACCAGCCCCGAGGAGAACAGGCCAGGGCGGGGCCTGGCGGGCTCGGGGGTGGGGCACGGGGCCTTTCCCCTCTAGGGGGTGCCGGATCTGATCCAGCTCCTGGCTGGGCCCATGATTTTGCTCTGAGCTCAGTGGGTCCCATGTTAACAGTGACTGGGCTGGTTCATGGGGGGTGGCTCCCCCTCCCCCCGCCCCCAGCGGGGGCCCTCCAGGGCAGAGCTGGGGCAGATTGTGTGGGAGGAGCTCACCCACTACTTGGGCTCTGCTCTCTGAACCCCAGCACCTCCCTGGCAACAGGACATGGCAGCCACTTAGGTGTCTAGAGGGTGGACAACACATTGAGGGGAGTGGGCTCTAGTGGTTAGAGTGAGGGGGGGAGGTCAGGACTCCTGGGTTCTGTCCTTTCAGTTCTGTGTGACCTGGGTCAGAACCCTCCTGTCTCATGCCTCAGTTCCCCCAGTTCTTTGGGGTCCCGTGACTCCCCCTGTCTCTTGGTCACGCTGGGGGCACGCTGTGCTGGCTGCTCTGAGCACAGGACGTGGTTGTGCGGCTTCCCGGCCTAGTTCTCCCCGCCCCCATGCAGAGGGGAGGCGCCCAGCCCTGAGCCTGGAGTGCCGCCATTCAGGCCCTCCCCCCCGGCCCCCCCCCCCCCGTGGACCCAGCTGGGAGGCCAGGGCACCCGGAGTTCAATGGCCGGGTACTGCGCTGCCCCCGCCCTTTGCCCCCCCGTGCCCGCTCTGCCATGTGGGTACTGCACAGGAAAGCGGGGGGAGCTGGTGGGGGTTGGGAGCCAGCAGGGCCGGCGCTTCCATTTAGGCGACCTAGGCGGTTGCTTAGGGCGCCAGGATTTGGGGGGGGTGGCATTTTGCCGCTGTCGGTGGCAATTCGGCGGCAGGGGGTCCTTCCGCGCTCTGGGTCTTCGGCGGCAATTCTGTGGCGGGTCCTTCACTCGCTCTGGGACCCGCCGCCGAAGTGCCCCGAAGACCGGGAGCGCGGAAGGACCCCCGCCTAGCGCGCCAAAAGCCCTGGCGCCGCTCCTGGGAGCCAGGATTCCTGGGTTCTAGCCCCGGCTGAGAGAGGAGAGTCGGGGGAGGGGTGTATAGTCTAGTGGCTTAGAGAGGGGGAGGGATAGCTTAGTGGTTTGAGCATTGGCCTGCTAAACCCAGGGTTGTGAGCTCAATCCTTGAGGGGGCCACTTAGGGATCTGGGGCGAAAATCTGTCTGCGGATTGGTCCTGCTTTGAGCAGGGGGATAGACTAGATGACCTCCTCAGGTCTCTTCCAACCCTGATCTTCTATGATTCTTCCCACCACAGACATTGACCCAATGCCATATTGGGCAAATCTTAGCCACTTTGTGCCTCAGTTTCCCTCGGTGGGGTGAAAAGAACAGGAGTACTTGTGGCACCTTAGAGACTAACAAATTTATTAGAGCATAAGCTTTCGTGGGCTACAGCCCACTTCTTCGGATGCATAGCTGTGGGGTGAGTGATTCCCCCTCCTAGCTGACTTGAATTAGCATCTATCAAATGTATTCAGCTCCTACCCTGTCCTGGGGCATGGGCCGGGCACTGTGTGTGGGTGTGGGTATGGGGGAAGCCCATGGCTGGGATAGCAGGATTTGTGGGGCATTGATAGAGCTGGTGGGGATGGGCTGCGGGTTGGGAGTGTGGAGCACCAGCACAGCTGTGCTTTCCCAGCACTCTCCCATAGTTTCCAGCTGGCCAGGTTGCTGTGTGGGGGCGGGGAAGGTGGAGCCGGATCCGTGGGGAGGAGCTGGGAGCTTGGCCAGGGCTCCGCTCCCCTGGTGGGCGGGGCCCACACGCTGTCTTGGGGTCTGGGCATCAAGCCCTTTCCGGAGGGCACTGGGACAGCAGAGGTGCAGGTGCCACCAGAGCCTGGACCTGGGGTCTGCACCAGAAAGTCGACTCCCCCCCCATCCCGGGGAACAAACAACCTGGCTACCCCCACCCTGCTCAGCTCCCACAGCCGCTGCGGGGCGGGGGGTTCCCTGGTCCTGACGCAGCCCCCGCCCCCCCGCTCTTGCTCAAGGCCCCAGCACAAGCTGTGTCCCTCTTTGCCTGTCCCCGGCCTGAACTCTGGGCTGGGCTCTGGGCCCAGCTCACACACACAGGCCTTGGACCGAATGACCCCCTCATCCCCCACCCTGGTGTATTTCCCAGCTCGAGCAGGGGGCCAGGCCTGCTGCCGTGTTCCTGGGGCTGGGGGCTCCTGAACACATGGGTTGTTGATGCAGGCGGCTCGACACAGATCCTGCACGCACCAGTGTGTTGTAGGGTCATTTGGGTGCATGGGGGTATGGGCACTGGCTTGTTATTGTAGGGCCAGTCACACATGGTGAGGCTGCACTTGGTCATTGTAGGGCTGTGCATGCGGGTTTGTTATTGTAGGGTTGCTGGCAGGTGGTCTGCTATTATAGGGTTGCCAAAGTGGGTCGATTTGTTAGTGGGGGACTGCTGAGGCAGGTGAGTTTGTTATTGTAGGGCTGCTGGGAGGCAGGTTTGTTGTTGCTGGGGGAGGGGTTTGTTATTGTAGGGTGCTGGCAGGGGGTGGGTTTGTGGCTGGGGACAGGTTTGTTATTGTAGGGTGCCGTCAGAGGGCAGGTTTGTTGTTTCTGGGTAATGGGTTTATTATTGTAGGGCTGCTGGGAGGCGGGTTTGTTGTTGTATGGCTATTGGCAGGCAGATTTGTTGTTGCTGGGGGACGGGTTTGTTACTGTAGAGCAGCTGGCAGGTGGGTTTGTTGTGGAGCGCCTGGTGGCTAAGCACTGAGGCCAGGGCACACAGTGCAGGGACGTTCAGTCGTGGAGCCCCTGACCACCCCTGCTCACAAGGGTGATGGTGCGTGACTGACAGGCCGAGCCCTGCTCCCAGGGCAGGCGAGGGGGCCCACGGCCAGTCCCAGGCCGGGATTAATTCAGCAGCAGCAGAGCGCCCCCCCCCCCCGCCCATAAAAATGGGTCAGTTCCATCATTCTCATTTTACAGAGGAGCAGTGTGGCACCGAGGGGAAAGGACATGACCAAGGTCACAGCCAGAGCTGGGATCAGAACCCAGGAATCCTGGGTCCTAGCGCCCCCCTGCTCTGACCGTCAGACCCGCTCCCCTCCCAGAGCTGGAAATCGAACCCAGGAGTCCTGGCTCCCAGCCCCCCAGGCCAGACCCCTGCCCTGTTGTGGCGACGGCAGGCTTCAGTCACAGCCCAGGGATTCTCCGCACTCACTTTATTTGCCTGGTGCCGTAGCGGGAGCGGGAAGGTTGGGGGCAGTGGGATTCCCTTGGTTCTCCCAGGCTCCCCCTTCACCTGCTAGGATTTTATGCCCCGCCCACTAGGGGTGTGGCCTCGCTGTGTCCCCGGGAGGGTGCTGGGGGGCAGGGGAGCAGCAGAGGAGGGGGAATCCACAATCGCAGGCTCCGGCCACCCAGCTCAGCCCCTCTTCCCAGAGCGCTGACTGGCTGATTGCCTCCCTGGCCACTCCCCTCCCCAGTGCTCGCTGAGGCCTTGTACCCAGCAGCCTGTTCTGCAGCAGGTGGGGTGCGGGATCCCCAAGGAAGCCCCTGCCCAGGCCTTGCTCAGGGGGCTCCGGCAAGGAGCAGGCAGGAGGTGCTAAGCAGCAGCAGCAGCAGCAGTGGGGAGCAGGTGGGTGAGCGAGGGCTCCCGCTGGCCAGCTGCAGACCTGCAGAGAGAGAGGCAGAGATGTCATTTCACCTCAGCGGGTGGGGGCGCTGTGAGGGGCAGAGTTCCCCCAGGGCTGGGGTCCCAGCAAGGGCCTTGCCCACTGGGGCGGAGGCATGGATCAGAGAGAGGAGAAAAAGCCAGGCCCATAAGGCGCTCGGCCCGAGGGTAGGGAGGTAACGAGACCCAGCGTGGCTGGTACACCTCATTCCCGACCCACAGCCCCTGCTACCCAGCCCTGGGTTCCCCACAACTGCTCGGCTTGTGCCCCTCTCTCCCGACCCACAGCCCCGAGGTTTCCCCCAGCAACTCGGACGGTGCCCCTCACTCCCAACCCACAGCCCCCTGCTAGCCCAGCCCTGGGTTCCCCACAACAGCTTGGCCGGTGCCCCTCACTCCTGACCCACAGCCCCTGCTATCCCAGCCCCAGACTGCCCCCTTCCCCCCCACAGCTCCGCTGGTGCCCCTCAATCCCCAGACTGATCACTCCCATCATTCCGTGTCTGGGGTCCCCCCAGCGCGGCCAGTGCCATTCAGCAAGGCTCTGTGGTGCCAGCACTTGGGTCTCTCCGGACCAGAGACCAGCCAATTGGCCGGTCCGACACATGGACAAATGGGGGCTCCTGGCCCTGGGGCAGACCCCAAGGCTCCTGCTCTGATCGGGGCCGAAAAGCTGGCACAGCGATGCCCAAAGCGTGTGTCCCCTGCCCTCTACTGGTGCTTCCTGGGACTGCAGGTAAACTCACTGAGCAGCTGGCCTTTGCCCACTTAGCTGGATGCTACCAGCCCCAGGGAGACCCTGAGCGTCCCACCCAGATGGCATCCAGCAGCGCCAGCTGCAAATCACCTTGGTCGGCAGCTTCGTCGTACTTCAGGAAAGGGCCAGCGGACACGACCCCCGACGGAGGCTTCCTGCCCTGCACAGCAGGGCCCGGCCTGGCGCAGTGCTGCAGGGGGAGGACAGAGCCTTGTCAGCGCTCAGCACTAGGGGGCACTCTGGAGTCATCCAGCACGGAGGTAGCAAGAGGCTGCTTGGCACAGGGTATGATCCGCCCAGTGGCTCAGACAGCACTGCAAAGCACATTGCAGCCTGTTTTTGTGGGAATGCAGCCACCTCTGGGGAGGGGCAGCTAGGTCACAGCCACATGGCAACGCTGCTGGGGACAGTTTGCCCGGCACTGAAATGCAGCCAGCCCTGGGGTGGCACAGCTGAAGCACAGCGCATGCTAGTGCTGCACAGGGATGGCTCCCAAGGCACGGGGATGCACTGCAGGCCCCATGCTACCAGACAAGGAGGACCCAGCAGGAGCTGCTCCCCCCTACACTGAGGGGGTTTCCACTGTCACACTCAGCCCCACAGCTGGACAGGGCCCTGGCCTGGGTCCGTCCCTTGGTGCTGCATGTGGGCCTGGCTGAGAGCACGGCCTCTTGCCCACCCAGGAAGGGAGGCTGCTGCCAGTCAACCCCTGAGCGCCACTGGGGAGGTTTCCCAAGGAGTCTCAGAGCAGATCCCCTCCCTGGTGTGGAGGGGGAGGGTCCCAGCTCCCATGTGCTCACTCACCATGGTGCACGTGGCCGCGTGGGGGCTGCAGAGCCGGACGCGGCAATGCAGATACACCAGCTCCAAGTCTGGGATGAACAGGAAGACATTGAAGGAGAAGCGGCTGATGGAGGAGACGCCGTCCTCGTCGATCATCACTGTGCCATCTCGCACGCTGGGGCACCTGGGTGAGGGACAGGGCACAGGGGGTCAGCCAGACATGGCACTAAGCAGCAGGTTAGCCACTTAGCCAGCTCTACCTGGCTACTGCAGCTGCCTCCCTGTCCAGCATCGTGTTAGGACCCAGGAGTCTGGACTTCCAGCCCCCCCACCCTAACCCACCATGCCCCACTCCCCACCCAGAGCCAGGGATAGAACCCAGGCGTCCGGTCTCCCAGCTCCCCCACCCCTAAGCCACCACTGCCCCACTCCCCACCCACGAGCCAGGGATAGAACCCAGGCGTCCGGTCTCCCAGCTCCCCCACCCTAAGCCACCATGCCCCACTCCCCACCCAGAGCCAGGGATAGAACCCAGGCATCCGGTCTCCCAGCTCCCCCACCCTATGATGTGAAGCGGAAGGACCAGCTGCTCACTGGTTGGTGATGAGATCCCATCGGATGCTGGAGGAGGGGTCTCGGTCCGGAGTCGCCCAGCATGATGACAAGGTCAGCACGAAGTGGCTGGGGTCCAACCCTGAAACCCTGATGCCCACATAGACCCTGTGGTTGACAGTGAGTGGGATGGGGCTCTGGGTGAAGGGTTTGCTGTATCGAGGGTCTTGGTACAGGACCATGGTTGTCAGGTAGCTGCCTTGGCCGGAGGGGAGGGTTGTGTTAACAACACTGTGGAAGAAGGTGAGAACAGAAGAGAGACACAACACTCGATGGAGGCTAGAGCAGAAAAGTCACGTGTCTGCAGCAGGGGGTGGGGCATTAGGGACACCAGTGGGCAAAGGCGACTTTAAGGGGTTGTGGGAACTGATGAAGTTACAGGAGCCGCAAGGAACGGGGGGCAGGAACCAGCATGGTGCGAAGGGGCAGGGGAACAAGGAGTCACTGGAACCAGCATGGTTCAAGGGTACATGGGAATCAGCCGGGTGCTAGGGGAGGTGGGAACCAGAGGTCACAGGGACCAGTGCGGAGCAAGGGGATGTGGGAACAAGGGGGCATGTGAACCAGAGTGGTTCAAGGGGACGTGGGACCAAGAGTCATAGAAATGGCACAGTGCAAGGCAGGTGCACCCAGAGGTCACAGGAATGGTGCGCTGCAAGACAGGTGGATTCAGGAGTCGTGGGAACTGGCGCAGCACAAGGGGGTCATGGAACCAGTGTGACGCAAGGCGGGCGGGACCCAGGGGGTTGCAGGAAGTGGCACATGGGGGTGGGACCCAGGGGTCATGGGAACCAGCGCAGCACAAGGGGGGCAGGACCCAGAGGTCATGGGAACCAGCACAGCACAAGGGGGGGCGGGACCCAGGGGTCAGGGGAACCAGTGTGATGCAAGGGGGGCGGGACCCAGGGGTCACGGGAATTGGCACAAGGGGGCGGGACCCAGGGGTCGTGGGAACCGGCGCAGCGCAAGGGGGCGGGACCCAGGGGTCGTGGGAAGTGGCACAAGGGGGCAGGACCCAGGGGTCGTGGGGAGTGGCACAAGGGGGCGGGACCCAGGGGTCGTGAGAACCGGCGCAGCGCAAGGGGGCGGGACCCAGGGGTCGTGGGTACCGGCACAGCGCAAGGGAGTGAGACCCAGGGGTTGTGGGAAGTGGCACAAGGGGGCGGGACCCAGGGGTCATGAGATCCATCGCAGCGCAAGGGGGCGGGACCCAGGGGTCGTGAGAACCGGCGCAGCACAAGGGGGCGGGATCCAGGGGTCGTGGGTACCGGCACAGCGCAAGGGAGTGGGACCCAGGGGTCGTGGGAAGTGGCACAAGGGGGCGGGACCCAGAGGTCGCAGGAAGTGGTGCTGTGCAAGGAATCCTGCAAAGTGGAAGCAGCCCTGAGGGCAGGGAGATGGGGCACTGAGGGCCAGGTGCTCTGGGAGCTTTGGGGTCCCAAAGACAGAGGGCTGCAGGGGGCTCCAGAAATCAGCAGCAGCAGGTGGCACTGAGGAGGGGCCCTACTCACTCCTGTATGGGCTGGATGACCATTGGGACGGACAGGTTGATGCTCAGTGGCTGGGCGCAGGAGAAGTGCAAGAAGAGGAGCCTGTCCCGGCTGATGACCCCTCCATAGGTGTTGCCCACCCGGCCCTGCACCTGGTTGGAGTAAGTGGCGTGGGTGGCGTTGACCTGTGGGGGGCACAGAAGCAGCAGCGGTGGTGAGAGCCGAGTCTCTCCCTGCCTAGGATCCACATCACTGCCATTGGGGCAGAGCTCCCCTTCCCGCCATGGCCCTGGCCCACTCCTCTTTCGCACAGAACACACGTCTCTTGTCACCGCCCTTCTCGCTCAGACCCGCCTGGTGAGAGACCATTGGCCTGCAGGGGGGTGCGTGCCGGAGCAGGGGGGGCAGCATGTTGACTCGTGTTTGAAGAGGTGCACGGGTGCGCATGTGGCCGTGTGATGGTAGAGTTGCAAGGGTGTGCACGTGGCCATGCGCTGGTAGAGGTGTGTGGGTGTGCACATGGCTGTGTGATGGTAGAGTTGCAAGGGTGTGCATGTGGCTGTGCGCTGGTAGAGGTGTGTGGGTGTGCACATGGCTGTGTGATGGTAGAGTTGCAAGGGTGTGCATGTGG